ATTTGTTTAACTTCAAACTCTAAAGTGCAATAAATTCAATTATGCTTCAGTTTTGTCCCACGGTAGTGGCTTTGGGCACTTTTTTAGGATTTGGTTGGTGAAAGTTTTTTCTGGCCGAGCTTTGCACAGATTAAATCAACTACAGAGCTTCTTGAGCAGACACCAAGTGCAAGGTCAGAATGCTGACACACTTGTTTCTTTGTTTTCTTATGGTACTTATGTCAAAAGACATAGGGTTTCCAGAATTCCAGAGGTGAATTACATTCATGCTTCTTGTCCCAGTGCATCATAAATCATCTCCTTTCACTTTTTAAGTTATCATAGGAGACACTTAATGCAATGAGGTGATACACATATATTTGGAGCACCATAACCAGAGGCATTTTGCAGTTTAAGGGAGATTGAAACTACTGTTGCTTTGGGAGAGCATTTGACTGCAGCAGCTTTCAACAGTGGAATGACTTCAGGACTCAGGAAGTCAACAAATGGAATAATGAAATATCAGGTTAATGAGTAGTGGTAACAAAAAAAATAAGATGACATAAGTCATCACTTCTCTAGTAGTAGGCTGAACTCTGCAGAAGTTCCTGCAGCAAGAGCCAGTCAGCAAGAAACGAGAGAGTACAACTAGTCACTACTGTTGCCCCCATGATGGATGCTGGTCAAACATTCTTAAGAAGGAGTGATCTCGGCTGTTTCATGAGGATTTTAATACTTTCATAAATGCATAGCTATGCTGAGTTGTAAGGGTAGAGGTTAACTGATACATTTCTCTGACGAAACACGGTGGGAACCTAAGACATTGTAACATTGTATGAAGCTTGTAACTGAGTTAATTGGAAGAGAGAATTAAGAACAGTGTAGCCTCCACAGCTGCAGAAGCGGCAAGGCTGGGGTGCAGGGCTCAGCCTCTGCAAGAAGAGCTCTGTGCACAGGCCTTTACTTCTGCATTACCTGCACGATGTCCTTTCCTAGGGCTCACATGATTTTTTTTTTTTTTTATGATGTCCTCCTACCTTCTTATCTTTGCAGCTAGGGCTGCAGTTGCAAACTCCTGACAAAAGTTGTTTCTGAAGTTACTAGAGAGTATTAACAGAAGACTCTTCTAAATGCTTTCTACTGACATTTCCTCTAATTGCAGAATGCATTCATTGTTTTTTAAAATGACAGTCGTCCCTGCTAGTGGTGTGGGTTTGAACCTCAGAGACCAATCTGGATGGTGATTATATTGCAGTGTTTAAGTCTGCTTTATGCTTGTTTGAACAAAGCCATGGATGAGCAGGCACCAGGCAAGAGTGGTGCAAACAAGTTACACAGGGCTTCACAGGTGGCTCTGCCTAGTCCAACCAGGTAGCCTGCAACCCAGACTGGCAGTTGCGTCCATATTAGTGGTATTCCCCTTTCTAAAACCCCTCCTCTCAACACGGGTCAGACTGGTTCTTTCACATTTCAGCTAAAGCCAGTCTTTCTTCTTCAGTCAACCACTCAAATCAGGAACCAGCACTTGCCCCTGCTCTAAAACAAAAAATCTCAGAGCAGCACAGAAAAAGCCAGCCTACTACATCTCCTGAGGAACAATACATGTGTCCAAAAGGTTTTTTCAAAGTGATAATGCATGTGATGTCACTACTTCATGTTATCAGTCAGTCACAGTGGAAGGTTTCCTGGTCAGAACTGGCATTAGTTGTGTTTTTCTGCTTTCCTGTGCATCTGCCTTCATGTGTTTCGAGGAAAACTGACATTTAGGGATGTGGTAGAACCCTCATCCCTGGAGGTTTTAAAGATGCAATTGGACAGGCTGCTCGACCATCTCATCTAGGCTCCCCTTCCCACAAAAGGTTGCACTAGGTGATCTGTCAAGGTCTCTTCCAATCTGGGCTGCTCTATGATTAGCGTCTGGAGTAGCAAGATACTGAAATTTGATCAGTTTTCTCCTGGGGAATGAAAGCTGTAGAAAAGCTACTGAAAGAATGCTTTCTTGGTGGAATTTCTTCACTTGAATTCAGGTTCTACAGACTTGGAGTACCCAGGTACGAGCTGTCGTTTGCCCAGCAGCCCTATTTCCACATGACCCTATTTCAGTCTTCGTTTGGCACTTGCATTAGTATTTACCAGGCTTGGGAGCATTGCAGGGATCCACAGTCTGAGCGAATTCATGTACCTGCTCCAATTTATACATTGCAACAGGCCCATAATTCTGAGACCTACACCCCACCCCCCAACAGAAGCAGTATTTCAACTGGAAGTTATTATCCAGTTATGGCAATACCCAGAAGCAAAGACTGTAACGTAGCCGCAAAGTTTTAAATGAAAAAAACTTCCTGTAAACCAGGTTAACTCCTGCTTGAAGAAGAGTGACTTACTGCAATTTTAAATGCTGGATATTGACTTTAAAAAAAAAAGGCTGAGTGGGCACCAAAGTACTGTACAAATCCTCTTTACAAATCTGAGATGCCCAAGGCTAATGAGTATCAACCTATTGCCACGTTTCTCCAGTGCCCAAATCAGGTTTTGCGAAACACCAACAATATTTTGAGATGTTCCAGCCCTTGATTGTCCGAAAAAAAGTCAGTCTGAACCTCAGGTAGTCTTTCACAGCCAAGAGAGGTGGTATATCCCTTTCATTTTTTATACCACTTTATGCCGCTGTCCCAGAGAACTGTGGTTGACATCTGCAACAATGGACCACTCAACAGAAGCATCCACAGACCTAAAACTATAACTGTAACAACAAAATACACAAAATATATAAATATACATATAGCAAGACATGCCTAAAGATTTCCTATACACAATTACAGCACAATCGTACTCTTACTTGAACTTCTCACATATTTAGAAATGAAGCCAAAAATGAGGACCAATGCTTCACAATTCAATTTAAAAAACTATTGAGTGTATCCTCTCAGTGCTTTGGAAATATTTGTGCCACTTTGCTATAAAAGGAAAATCAGCAACAGCTATATACTAAGGGTACCAGTGGCTCTGAAGCGAAAGAAATATTTCACTGTTTAAAGAATGGAATTACATTTGCTTACTGCAGTAACCTATTCTGCACCTCCAAATCTATCAGTTTACTTGGTTTTCTCCTATATTCAGCTCTTTTTATCACTTTCCCTTTTTGCTTTCTGCATTTTGTCTCTCCCAAGTAGCATGTGGACCTGTGGCATCCCATCTGCTCCTTTCTGAGCTCAGGAACTGCTGTTAGTGGCACATAACAATTTACAGGCAGTTTGTCACATTCTGCAACTTCTTCTTTATATCTGAATAATGGCCTCTGAAAGTCCTTGAAGGATTTTATTCAGATCACATTCACTCATATGACAACAGATCAAAGCATTTCATGCTGCTATGAATTTAAAAATCACAGATGCCTTCTCACTATGGCAAGCTGTTTTTCAAATGAGACCCATATTAAATAGTGAAAAGTTGACCGTATCCACTTCAGAGTTTGAAAGTATACTTTGTTTCAGGAAATAAAAGACTGAAAACAAAAAAAGCAGTAACAGAAAGGAAAAATATGTTAGAAAAATCATGTCTGCCTTAATTCTAGAAATCACAACAGCATTAATAAAATCTTAAAAAGGAAACTAATACAATATTTATTTAGAAGCAGCATTAATTCAAACAACACATAAAAATCTCAAGCGGTTATTGTGTAAGTGCATCAACTCCTTTTATTATTTTATGCCTTTCCACAGGAACAGCCGTACAGCAGCTACGCAATTTGTTCTCAGAAAGCTTTTACTAGTCTGAAATCTCATCTTTATAATTGGATAATACAGTGAACTAGTTCCAGTGATAAATTCCAGATTTACGTAGACTAGATTTCAAGAGTAAACTCAGCATGGAAGATGTGAAAACTTTTGAATATTCCCCAAAAAGGTGACATCATACACAATTCCAGTGAATTCAGACAGGCAAAATATACAAGATATTTGTAAAAACCCCAGATGTTTAATCCGACATATTCACATATCTCTAAAGATGAAAAGCTTTTTCTGCTTATAAGTTAACAGCATGGATTCTGCCTTCTGAACGTCAACAGTGACAGGTTATTTTAAGGGCATCTCTAAAGTGTAAAGACAATCTGTACTGGGTAAATTACTTCCCCCTCTTTTGGAAGATGGAATCACCTAACACAGGGGCCGGAGCACCAGAAGTGAAATTCCCATTTTGAAATTTTTTCTGAGATTTTCCCCATTCACAACAAGGATAACCTCTGCAGATTCTTGGGCTGAGGCCATTATCTCTGAATAACAAACCAAAACAAAATGAGGAACACTTCCACAGCTGAGAAAGAACCAAAAGCATAGCTTGATCAGAATGCTAAATGCTATGGGACAATTCTATGCTTCTGGGAAAAATAGTTTATTTCTCAAGAGATGAATGTGAATTCACAGCTGTAATCTTTAATTTTAGATAATTTAATACCACAGTATTGACAGTCTTCATAAATGTTAGTTTTGAAATAAAGATGCAAAAAAAGCACAAACAAATTTATTATTCTTACTGGAAAAACTAGTGAGTTTTTATTTTAAATTTAGTCTTTTCTTCAAACATTATGTGGTGGCATCCCTTTTACCAACCCTGTTCTCAGGGATGTGGAGATATACACATACCTATATACACATATATATGTGGATATCCCGATACGTATCAGGATGCAGAACAGGCAACAAGACTTACTTCTCTCTCCACCCCACCTCCCCACCAGTAATGCCATAAAGCCTCACATACTGTAGATGATGGGAAATACCAGAATTCACTCACTTCACTCATGTTTCCACTGCCCACATAAAGTTGCTCTGTACTTTGTGTCTGGCTTGGACAATAGCCATGATGTTCCAACACACTGGTTAATGCAGAGTAAGCTTCTGTTTCCCACTTCTTGATCTTGCAGATGCTGGGGACTGGAGAGAACAGACACCAACCCTTCAACTCCGTGAGGATAAATGCAGTGCTCAACCTCACTTGGCAACGATCTACACCCATCTGAAGAGCAGCAAAAGCATACTGACAAACCCCCTTCCTTGCCCCAGAGATGCCGATTGCCACATGAGGCTTACATCCTTGAGATGAGATGGAAAGTCCTTTGGCTCTCTGAAAGTTTCAGACCCCTCTCTTCAAGAGAGCTAGAAGAGAACTCTTCCGAGTCTTTGAATAAGACTGAACATAAATGAATCACATGCAGAAAACCTGAAACCATTTCAACCCCTGGGCCAGAAGCACCACGCCATGCCTGGAAGCATCAAAGCAATGATGATAGAAGAAAAAAGATTTACTGCGTTGTTGTCTAATATAGGTTTTCCAGATATGTGCTTGGAGTCTTTTGTTTGGTGATTCACAACCATGCCAATATCCTGGTCAAAGCCTGAGAAAAGATAGGAGACTTCATGTTACAAAGCCAACCAAGCTGAAAGAAACCTAGTAACCAAGTGTATGCAACTTCCTATATTTAGTTTACCATTACAGTGTTAACCTCTGTAAGAAAAGATAACAACAGATTGAACTGAATTACAGTTAGTTTAATCTGGTAGCTTCAAGGAATGGGATGTAAATGCAATACTTTACACCAGAAGGTACTTCTTTCAAAAAGTTATACTTCTGTCAGGTCTACTTCTCTCTTTACACAGTTTCACAGCAAAGAAAGAAATGAAACAAGCTAAATCAGAAGAGGAAAGAGTTGTTCCAAGACCCATTCCAAGACAAAGGTTGCTGTTTTGCACAGAACAGGAACAACTGATGAGCAACATGTATTTCCTGTCAAGAACATGTATTTCTTTTTCAAGGAGAATTACGGAAATAACACTATTACTTGATCTGAGAGCAAACAAGCTCCTTACAGAGGTTTAATTTATAATTTCTATTTACACAGCAGATTTATACTACCAGTAGCTGGATCTTTTTGCTAGTACTTATGCCATTTCTTCCTCTGTACTATCAGTACTCTAGCATTGTGTTTCATTAGCTGTTACTCTACACACACCACGGTTGTTTTGTCCAGCTGCATTACGTGCTGATAAAAGCACAATATTCTAGCATGCTTGATTTTGATACCAACTCCCACTGTAATGAAGCATAACTGGATACGTGCACACGCATACATTAAAGGCTGACGCGAAGAAACTTTCCAAAACAAACCAGTGCATTTTATATTAATGTTATTTTTCTCTAAAGATTTGAATAGCTGCTATACCTACAACTGGCAATTGCATTTTCAGCTGCTGCTTCATTAAAAAAAAAAAAAAATTCAGCACCTCAGACAATACTTCAAACTACAAACCTGCTTGGCAGGTATAAAGTTGGTATTACTGTTACCTTTGAATCATACATTTAATCCTAGCTTTGGATGATGCAAAAGAGCTACAGAAAAATCAAACTGCAAAGCCTGATAATTTAACTCTTAACACTTGCTATGTTTTAGAATGTCATAAATTTTCTTAAGAGAACAACTGGGAATAAATTTTTCATAAATATATACCTTAAATGCACATAAAGCATAGATTCAGAGCATAAACAAGTAGGAAGGGTAACAGTAAATCCTTCCATTAGCTTTATTATTTGCAGAATAGGTATAGCTTCAGACTGATAAAATAGGGAAATTTCAGTTTATGCTGTGCAGCTACTCACACAAAGTTTTACTTACTAAACATGTGGGCAGGGAAAGACTTTCTCTTAGACACAGCGAGTATCACAGACTGTTGCATAAACCAAATCTAGGAAGACTACCAACAGGAAAAACATTGACAGAAGGGTAGCTATGATAGCATAATCTTTTTAAAAAAAGACCTTTCTTTATTGCCACCACCATAATTATTTACTGTCTTCCAAGATGCTGCAGAGAAACTGGAGTATTTCTTGAACAGGAATTGGAAAAGTGGGTTAAAGTAAGAAGGGACAAAAAAACCTAACACTAAGCATCACATGAGTGGCATCATTTCATCTATATCACAGCATACATCTACCATAGCACATATGTATATACAGTATACAAACTCCAGCAGTGCTTATGAATTTGTAAAAGAAATTGTGGCTGCCCCTGCTGCAGCCAGCAAAGTAAGTTGCTGAGTACAGAAAAATAACCTGAAGTGAAGAAGAAATGGATGCTGATAAATGCAGGGATGCATTAGCGAGGTTTACCACATTCTCTTAATGCATCTGCCTCATTAGGAGCAAGAAACATGTGGTCTGAGTGCTTAAGTGTTTTTTGCTTAGTACAGAAATATTTAAAAATTCCTCAGATGGTTCAACATTACATTATATTTTGGACTTTCTTAGAACCACAAAAAATAGAGCACAAAAACTGTCAGAAAGCCAAATTGACATCAACAATGGTTTGTGGTCTTCAGAGTTAGAAATGGGGCTCCAGCAATGACAGCTTAATTTTATCCATTTATTCAGATTAAGTTGTCATTGTCTCTTGTAAAATGTTACAATAATTAGATATATAGAAAAGTAGAGGGCAGCAATTGCTTTTTCCAAGGTAACATTTCCAAGGAGATCTCTGGTCTCTTTCAGTCATCAACAAGACAGTAACACAAGATAAGCAAATCAAAATGTGGAAAAGGACCAACTGCCCTTGCTCTTGTTTTCATTATCATGCCCATTACTTTGGCTCCCTTTGTCCTTTGTGTTGCTAATTCTGTATTATTTCCATTTAAAAAATCACGTCCTCAGCACTTACTGAAATTCAAGCTCATTTTCAGGTAACATTAGGAGATGGGGGTAAAAAAGAGAAGAATCTTACCGCTGTATTGCATCGTAGCTCCCAAATACGAATCAACAACTGACCCCAGCAAGCCAGCTGCTGCACCAAACACAACAATGGGCCATTGTGGAGCAGATACTTCCAGATCAGTCACGAAAAGGAGTTGTGTTATGAAGTAGGTTATACCTACTGCCATGCCCCCAAGCAAACTTGAAAGCAGGCCCACTAAAGTAATTGCTCCATTAGTACCTAAATAGAACAAAAACAAACTGATTGACAAACTTTTTCTTAAAGACTTCTATATGTTCAAATGTTTTATATGAAATCAAAACTGTGTTCATAGGGATCTTTCCCTTTTATATCCACAAGCCTCTGCTACCACAGCTTTCATTTACAATCCCCATTACGCTGAGAAGCTTAACCCATACCATTACAGCCTATTACTAGTTACTTTTCCTGTCTTAACGGCTAGTTATCTACAAGTTCACTGGAATCAAATTAAACAAAAGCAGGTAGCACACCTCTCAATGTCACCTGGTATTTGTCTGCTGTAAGATTGAAGGGTGGGATATGAAAAAGAGATCTCCTCCAAAAAATACAGAGCTTGAGATATGCCTGCTACTAAACCAATGCCTTTTTCAGAAGTATACTAAGACCTATTTCACCAACACCTCTAAAAGCAAGAACAAAATTAATAGAAAGGTAGACGTTTGACAGCTCATTGAATAAAAATCTGGAGACTGCTTGTAAGGGGAAAAAAAAAAAAAAATGCCCATGCATTTAAATCCTATCCCATGAGATCTAAAATCCAGATCAACATACCAGCCAAACTCAAAGACCCACACTGCTTTAAGGTAGCAATGTCACCCACTGTGTAGACAGGGTGTGACAGGCAAAAGGTTCACTTTACCCACCCTTGGTAAGATATTAAAGGAAATGAGTGATTTGATTAAGAAGTGAATTTTCTGTAGTGGCTGTACCGAATATATGTATATATTCTACTGATTAAAATGTTAATGTCTGAAAAATTCAGTTGACGACTTGTATTTTTTATACTACTGGCAACATAAACACTTTTAACAGTGCCAGAGATGAGAAACCACAGCATTCACTAGGAATGATTTTAGATCCCTGGATGCTATGTTGGTGCATCTCACCAATGAGATGCAGCAGGAACACAACTGAGTATATTCCATTTCAGTTTCCTGCTAACATTTTCTAATCCCAGATTTCTGATGTTTGTTCTTCTCCACCTTTTTTTGAACTTTTCAAGTTGGATGCATAGCTTAGAACAGATTAGCAAAACATGAAAAGCATGTAGAACAGATAACACCTCACCTACTGGAACCTTTTCCCAGGTTGTTATCAACCTTGGTTCACTTTTACTCATGACGCTGCCGATCTCTGAGGCCCACGTGTCTCCAGCAGAGCATGCCAAAGCTCCCAGAAGGGACAGGCACATCCATGATGCTGTGTATTGCTTGGAAAAGTCTATTGGAATTTCACCTGGTCCATTTTCTATCATGTATAAGACAGCCAGCTCGGTTGGAACACCGCCGTTACACAACACTTGCATCCAATTCCTCTGCCCACCTAAAGAGACAAAACCTAAATTTTACTACTTTCAGGCAACAAAAGCAAAATACACATATAGAGAGTTGAAGTTAAAAATGCACACTTTCAAAGCAGAAACTAGATAGCTATTCACCAAATGCAACAGAAGCAAATTTGCTTGCTAGTGTTCATAGGGGTGGGGATGGAGGGGAAGCACGACAACAGTGTTCCCTACTCTGGATGTTACATCTCACCAGACCCTTTGAAAGAACAGGAATAAGTAATATTTGCTCTCCACAAGTGATCTAAAAAAATTAAAATGTTATGGCTTACCTTCCTTGTATTCTGAATCTATTTTTTTCTTTATGTCTTTTTTCCACTTAGTAAGTTTTGAAGAAGTCACAAAAAATACAAGCAAAGAAGTGAAGAAACTGTAATTTGCAACTGTAAGGATAAATCCAACCACCAATCCTATGAAAAAAGAAAAGAGTATATGAAGTCCCTCATGCAACAACATCTGCTGTGCAGAGCAATTAAATATTTCAAAACTTTTGAATATGAAGAGTATCTTAATGATAAATCTAAGACAATCTTGCAGTGAATTACTGAAGTGCTGAATATCTGTATGAGAATTCCAGCGACATCTTGACTGAAAAGAAAATGATCTTTTTTTCCCTTAAATTTTATTGCTAAATTGGCAGTTTTATTGCTATTGCTAAAGTGAGTGATTTTTAAGATCGTCTCTTGCCACAAATCAGTTATATCATGCAGAAATAAAAGACAGAGAAATAAAAAAGAATGCCAAAGGGTAGATTATTGGAATGTAAGTAGCCTGCCTGAAGAATATGACTATTTGTTTAAGAAGCATATATCCAGCCATGGCTGTGTCTCCATCAGCAAGTTTATATTCAGTTTGAGCATCAAAGCCCTCCCCCAAGGTCTCTGAAATAACCTGGATAACCTTCTGTCATACCTTAACAGCTGCTACATCTCCCTTCTGTTCTTCGCTTTCTGTTTCTGATGTTTATGTCAACTTTTTCTTTCTGCAATTTTCTTAAGTATTTGAGCTACTGGATGTGCTTCTTTTTTATCCCCCCCCTCCACAGGGGAGATCTAATTCTCACTGCCCACAAAATTACAATTCTTCACAACTAAAAGAAAATTTGCTGCACTTAAAGCAAATGCCAAAATAATACAACAGCTCTGCTAAACAGCTTAAGAGGTAAAAACACAGCAGAAAAGTTGTTTTATTTTTAATTTAGAAAATGCTCCCCTTAACTCCCAGACAGAACAAGATTTGCAACATGTATGACGTGGAAGGAAATGCTGTATTGAAATTTAAAACAATCTTACAGGTTTATATAAACCTAACAACAATATGAATCAAATTAATCACAAACAGCAGCAAAAATTAACTTGACTATTTAAACAAGAATGTGAAAAAAAAAAATCAGTATGAATTCAAGGTATGTATGCTTATATTTATACTTTTATTATACTAGAACTAGGTAGTAAAGTCTTAGAAGACTATTATGTACAATAAAAAGGACCTTAATTTAGATTATTAAATGCTTAGCTGAATATTCTCAGTAAAAGCATACCTCCTAATGCACCACTGTGATCCAGACTCTTCTTCTTATAACCCTGTATAGCAATCACTAGTGGAACCACAACTGAGAAAAGCCAGCGCCACGGAGAGATGGGTCGTAAAGTACCTGATAAATCAAATGAGATGGTTACAGATGAGCCTTATGAGCCTTTTTAATGCCTTTGTATCTGAAAAGTAATTACCTCCTAGTATATATTTTACATCTGATCTTAATAGAGATTGAACTTTTTACCCTTTAGAAGAAATATATTCTTATGAATGGAAGCCAAAAATATCTGCAATTATGTACTTAACGACTCAATTCAGCTTTCAAAGAAAAAAAGAAAATGCATTAAATTAACAAAAATTAATTACAAAGAAATAGCAAACGTGTCAAGAAATTAACATGGTGATATTTTCCACTCTAAAAGGGATTAATAAAGTCAAAAGATTAACATTCCAAATGCTAAGAACAGCTGAAACCTGATTTGGCTAGAACAAGTAAGTTCAGGTTTTAGGGAAAACAAACCGCCCACACATCCAGAGTAAGTTACATGGAATTCAGTGTCAGGTACTTTTTTTGCCTCAGTGTTCACTGGCAAGTGCTCCAGCCACAGCTCCCAACTCCCAGAAGGCAAGGGCAGGGACTGGTAGAATGAAGAACCACCCACTGTAGGAGAAGATCAGGTTTGAGACCATCTAAGGAACCTGAAGGTAGACAAGTCCATGGGACCTGGTGAGACACATCTACGGGTCCTCAGGGAACTGGTGGATGAAGGAGCTAAACCACCTACTCATCACACTTTAGAAGTCATGGCAGTATGGGTTTGGGGTCCTAGAAGCCTTCCAGTATTTAAAGGGGGCCTACAGGAAACATGGGGAGGGACTCTCATCAGGGAGTGCAGTGATTGGACAGAAGGTACTGGTTTTAAACCAGGAGAGGGTAGATTTCCATTAGCTGTATGAAATTCTTTACTGTGAGGCTGGCGAGGCACTGGAACAGGCTGCCCAGAGAAGCTGTGGATAACGCCTCCCTGGAAGTGTTCAAGGCCAGGATGGATGGGGCTTTCAGTAACTTGGTCAGGGAAAGTGTCCCTGCCCATGGCAGCAGGGTTGGAACTAGGCAATTTTTAAGTTTCATTCCAATGCAAACCATTCCATGATTCTATGACTCTATGAGAACTGCCCAATCCATTTTTAAAAACAGTTAAAATTTTCATCTCAACAACCACCCACAGAACTGAATTCTAGTTTTAGATACACTGAAAAAGGCATTCCAAAAATCCAAAGATTCTACTGCCTCAAGTTTCATCAGACATCTGCTAAATTATGACCAACTGAATAATGATTTCCTTATTCACATTCTTCCTGCCATTCATACATGTATTTTTATGCAGAAATATCTTTTAAGTCCTCTTCAAATGGATGCTGTGACCTGCTCTGATCATCCTTGCAGATTTCAGTGTTGCTTTCTAGTTTCTACCAAGAGCATTTTGAAATGGGATATCCACAAGTGCACACAGTATTCACAGGAGAAGGACTAAGATTTCACCATTTCTAACAGTCAACTGATTTTGCACTTTGAGTACTGTGTCCAGTTTGAAGCACCACAGTATAAGGAGGACACTGAGGTGCTGAAGCAGGTCTGGAGAATGGCAACAAGGCTGGTGAGAGGTCTGGAAAACATGCCTGATGAGGTGTCGTTACCGACACCTGATCCCCGGGATAGCTGCCACCCAACCTCTGCCGTTGGGTGCCATCACAGACACTGGCTTCAATGTGAAGGATGCTGCAAATGGCGCTTATTGCGTCGCTGCAATTGCTTATATAGCACAAGCCACGCCCACAAGGCCCCTCGTGGGCAGTCTGAGCTTCCCCTTACATCGCGAGATCTTCCGCACGCCGATCCCTGCCTAGGGCGGGCTCTGCTCACCACAACAATGAGGAGCAGCTGAGGGAACTGGGGTTGTTTAGTCTGGAGAAGAGGAGACTGAGAGGAGACCTTATTGCTCTATAGAACTACTTAAAAGGAGGTTGTAGTGAGGCTGGTGTTGGTCTCTTCTCTTAAATTACTGATGATAGGACGAGAAGAAACAGCTGCAAGTTGCACCAGGGAAGGTTTCGATTGGATATTAGGAAGAATTTCTCCACTGAGAGAGTGGTTAGGCACTGGAACGGGCTGCCCAGGGAGGGGGTGGAGTCATCATCCCTGGAGGTGTCCAAGAAATCAAGTAGATGTAGCCCTTGAGGCTATGGTCTAGTGGTTTTTTGACTAGAAAGTATTTAATTAAAAAAAAAAAAGATAATATTAAGTAACCTGGGTGGTATAATTCCCTTTCCTTGATTACCTGCTTATATTAGAACCAGGCTGCTGACCCCCTCAGTCGGGCAGTACATTCAGTACAGACAGCTGTGGTGCAAAGGAAAAGGCACTTGCCCTGCTGCTCCCTGTTCTTCTCATCATCTTTTCTTGCATTACTATCTGTTCACCTTTATCTGTGTTAACCAAGCTCTTGGGTTCCCCTCTCCACTGTATCTCAGGAAGAATTTACATCCTTCAGGACCTGAGAACACACCTGTCATCTTTACGATGGATGCTCTTAAAACTTTATTAACTCTAAATTTTTCCTCCAAAAGGGCTAGTCCTAGAAATACGCAAAAGAAACTAGGAGCCTTTAAAAAATTCAACTTATTTCAGTAAGCCACTGGTTTCCCCAAAATACTGATTTTTATTAAAGAACAGTATACATTATAAATCTTGTGACTAAGGAAAGGTAGCCATGTGACACACAAGTTGGCCATTATGTAGCCTGGTTTCCACATTTTATCCTCAAGCAAGCTTTAAGTTATCTAGTGCAGTTCTTCTTATCCTGTTTCTCTAATGTACAGAGAACTTGGCTTAGCTGCGAATCAGAGATAATTCAGGCTTCTAGTTTTTTGCTTTGCACAGTCCCTCCCCACTGCACATGCACACACACACACACACAGAGCCTCTTCCCAACCTGGCAGCAGCATAGGCAGCTAAGTGCACACTTCAGTCTGAAGCGTTTCAGAGACTTGTTGAAAATCAAGCTGCATCCAACAATTTCATGCCCTCTAATACGTATTTATTCTCAGGAAATTTTTTTCTTCTCTGAGGATCCTCTAGACTAATCCTTTTCCACTTCTGCGTTCCACTGTCCTCCCTGTTATGTTTTCTCGGTTTTATCTAGAGCAACGCAACCAAACAGATTGAGTGACAAGAGATTTCTTTTTGTTTGCACAGGTCTGCATGAGAAATTATTTTCCTTGTGGCATGGTATATTCAACATAGACCGAAAGCAGATATTTAAGCTAGGAGATAGCCTTCTTTTTCTATGAAATAACGTGCCCACACAGCACGGGAATCCTTTCCACTGATTTTTGTTCTCTGACAGCAGCTGCAACAGCATTACCACATTACCCAAGTCTTGCCTTGTGATTTCACATGAGTATGGATTTTAGGTTTACCCATCTGCCAAGGGAACAGTACATGTGAATTCTGGGGTGGCAAAATTAACAAGACAGCTCTGAGCTTCCTCTTTACTTTGCTTACTGGTCAGCATAACATAATAAAACTGAGCTTCCTGTGTTACAGCTATTCAAATACTTGACTAGCTTCTTGGTTTTCTCACAGAGCTAATAATAGCAATACATTGCATGGTTTAAATCTATCAATTCCTCCTTGCTTTCATACGAAAGCAATTCTACATGATAAAAGCTTTTGTATTTGGAAAGCATACCACTTTTGGGGAACTGAAGAGAAATAAATTCTTTTAGGTCTAGTATTAACATCTATGCAACAATGGCTCACCTGTTATCTTCTTTGTTGTATGAGCCCAACTTTTAAACATACCTCGCCCACTGCATTAAGCTCACTGCTACTATATGCTTCATTCACCTCCTCAAGCCAAGGTCTTTCCATAGGCTCAGGCAAACAGACCACAAAAGCTGTACGTCCTTCTTGTTTCATAATCATTCTCTATAAAAACGAGGATTTGTATCAGTCCCTATCCTGATTCACCTGGTACCAGGCCTCTCCACTCTACTCTGTGTCAGTTCTCAATCCCATTAGATAACAAGGACTAGCATATCCTAACTGGAGACAAAACTCACAGAACTATACCTATAGAGACAGGATATACACAAATTAATTGTCACGTTTAAATCCAACTCGACTAGCTCTAAAGGACACAAAACCTGGTTGTGAAGCCTGCTTCTGCACACCATCCCTGTGTCTGGCATCTCACAACAAGACAAATTTAAATTTTAAGACAGATTTACTGCTGCACCAGAACTAATACTCCACCCTGAAACCCAAAGCACTGAGCAGAGGCATCCAACCCCCACTGCAAAAGTCAGCATATACTGGTGAGATATTTATTCTAGCTTCTTCTGGATCCAAAGTGGCACTAGGCAGTCAAGAATGTTCATACTGCATCCCTACGCACTCTCAGCAACTCTGCAATGACATTGGAGCTCTTCCTGTACGAAAACAGACAAAGTCTTCCTGGGAAAGCAGTTAAACTCCTCTGGCTTGAACTGATGCTGGAGGCAGTACTGCTGCTTTTGCACATTGCTGTAAAAATGGTCCTAGAACCGAAATGCTAGACCACAGAAAGTACTAGTGCCCCTGCGACTACACACAAGTAAGCAGCAGCCTGCCTGAGCGACCTGAACAGAACACAGAGCTGACTGTACACACCATTGCCAGAGACTCCATGCATGCATCCCTCTCGTACCACTTCCCCTGTTTCTCTGTTCCTTGATCAAGGAATTCTTCTTGCGTGCCCTGTTTAAAAGCTGCACTTGTGTTCCTAAATCTCTTTAGCAGGTGGGCACACTCCTCCCATGGTGTCACTACTTCACCTGATAAAGAAAGGCTCCTATCAGCTCACTCTTTCTTTTCACTTTTTCATTTTTGTCTTGCTTTCTTTTAGGGAGACAAATCGCAAAGGATAACAACATTTTAAATTCAACGGGGTCTCTGGGCAGAGCTGCAAAGCATAGGCTGTCTGTTAGCACCTTCTAAACCACGATCAGCTACTCAGCCCCTCACGGGCTAAGAGTTTCAACTGTAGCGAGGATGGAAGGGGCTGTGCACACATCTCTTACCATTCTCTATCTCCAGCCTGCAGGAGCTGGAGGGGAGGGGAGGGCAGGGTAGCCGGCTCAGGGTTCAGGAGAA